CACCGCTATCCAAGCAGAGCACAGGTGGAAAAACGATTAACGGATTTTAAGACGTAAGTGACAAACGACAGTACAGAACTATAAAATCCGATGGGTTTGATTTAGATTCCGGAGTGCAGGTGCAAGATTAGGTGATTGATTCTTTTTTGGTATCCATTATCAAGTGAACAGTTAGCTTTCTCGAAGTTGAAAGCGTTGAAGCAGAGGCCTATCATGGAGTAGAGCGAGAGGAGGAAATGAGGCGGCACTGATGGTGGTTCCTCACACTGCCTAATCATCCACCTGTGTTCCGTTTCATCATGCCAATAAACGTTCTTATTTGCGATGCGCTTTTCCGCACCTGTCACCGTGGCTTCTGATTAATCTTGGAACTCTGCCCAATGATTGAACCGGAACTTAAGTTCTGGACTTTTCACTACTCTCGGGTTATCATATCCCGTAAAAAACTAGAATCTAATTCGAAGTTCAGAATTCGTTTACCAGTTCGACAATCACTTCCAACTCACATTGTAATGAATATAGAGAATTTGCCGGCAATTTCATCTCACTGATTGGTCGTGTAAATGGTTAAAGTTCTAATAACTTACCCCCTCCCGGGAATAAAAACCGATCTGTACATTCAACTCTTGTACATGAATTTCGATCCCCGCCCGTCGGTTTTACTATTTTTTCAGTTTCACTTTTCTTCAAACATTCACCATACACCTTCGTGCACCGGTTTTGTTTGCCCATTTGGATCGAAGAGGTGGAATTCTCTTCCAAAACATTGAACTTACGTTTGCTGTATATCAAATGAAAATATCGGTTTGGACAATTGTTAGATGTGAATGCATACATCTGGCACGGATTTGTTTATAATTCCGATCGACGAAATGACTGTGGAATCCTACAAATAAGCTGGTCACTTCTTTCACGGTCGATTCATTACAGAAACCAAATGTAACAAAGTACGTAAGTGAGGGAAAGGCGATGGACAAAAAAAAGAAACTATCCTTGCATCTAACACTTGTTCCTATCCAATATTTTTATTTGATATACAATAAATGATGTACATAGAAACGGCACCAAAATAACTACTGGTTGTAAAGAACAAAACAAGAACGGTCAGCAATCGATTCCAGGTGGTGGTGAGAGAGGGCTACCAAAACATCTTTTATTTGATCCGTGCTAATAACTGTTTGTCTCTTTTCCTTTGAAATTGTAAACCCATTTACACTAGCGTGTTCGATACAATGTTACAGACCTTCGTGTCTTTAAACCAGAGAGAATCTCAATCTTTGGAGCCTCGATCTGACAGACGAAACCCAGATCTGAATGCAGTTTCGTCCGCACGACGACGACGCCACACCTTATAGCCTGTCCACCGCTCTGTTTCGTCCAGTCTGGTTGCTTGTCTACAGATAGGGGCAGATTTTGTTCGCTAATTTGTACCAACCCCCCCGCCCCCCCCTGGAAACTGTGATTACTTACCGGTGCTCGTTTGCCTGCTCACCATTCCAGCTCGATACGAGTAGTTCTCGTTCTTTTTAATTGCCTTTTCGAATGGTGCACTAACCCATAAGTCCGGGCTCACTATTATTAAAACATTTCACTATTGTTGGGATATGAACACGGCGTTAAGATTACTGACTATCCACACAGTCTTTGGGACTAGTGTCCATAATAATCAAAAACAATGATTAATATTGTTAAAATCCTCTCATTTTTTCTATTGTGTTCGTTTTCTTTTTCGGCATGTGAATAGCCTCATCTTTGGGATTCCGCATCGGTATCAAGAGCTGTCTGTTGTAGACGATTGTCTGGCGGAGATGAGACTAATATTGATGATCACTCGTGTTCGGGTCCAGTGTCAGACATGTGTGTCGGAGATTCGGGTCCTAATAAAACTCCCTCGGGTACCGGGGATCATCGTCCTCATCATCACGATCAACGATCAGACGGACCGGACGATTTTGATGAAGACGATATGGAAGGTACCGATCTGCTTCATCTGATTAGCAATTCGCTTGATCGATTCAATGCGATTGTACACCCACACGACCTGTCCGGACTAACTTCCGGACTCGGTGCGAGCGAGGGACTTTTGTCCGATTTGGACTGGTCATTATCGGAGACGGGAAATCCTCTGAACACACTCCGGTGTGGCAAAACCGGGACCTCATTGGAGAATGAAGATCAACAACAACAACAACACCAAGTAGGTTGCGTGATTATTCCCACCCTATCACTATTTTTCTGTGCACTTGAACGTAAACGTGTCCAGCATACCACGAATCCAAGTCATTCTCGTTTGTGACCATTACGTTGTTGGTATGACCTAATCTGATCGAGCGTGGTTGAGATGCAGTGTCTTACTGCTGCGGTGGTTTTTGGCGGCTCAAAATTCGACCCCCCAGTTGGTTTATCTTCCGTTTCTGCATATGAAACAAGTAGTGTGAAGCGAAATAAAATAAAACTGGGATTGGAGTGCGCAGAGCAGGAAGAAGGGTCCGAGGAGTGGGAGTGGGAAAAATGCTCTTTATTCTTAGATAACTGTACTTGGAGTGGTGAATCACACAAGGCCCTCCTAATATATAGGTGATATTGAGCCAAACAATAATGAAGCTGCCTATCGACGGCAAATTAGGGTCGTGGTGGCCAGGTTTGAACTTTAAACCTGAGATCGCGAAATTTGTAATGAATAGTGACTTAATTACCAGGATTTGAAGGTGTTGTCTACGGAGCGGTATCAGACGCGCGATGGGTGTTGTACCAGAATTTGACTATGCTGAGGACAAAAGATGATGAACCTAGGCACTTGACTGGCCGGGAGTGTGTATGAGAGAGAAAGCGTGACGGAAGCGACCTTGGAGGAATATAAAACAAAACCTCGGCAAGAGCAGAGCTGCATGCTACCGAGCGCGTCCCCAGGTCACGGATGGGTGAACGGTCACTAACTGGCGGTTATTTGTGAATAAGGTGAGTTTGTTCTCACTGAATAAGCGGTCGCGGACGATCAGCGGCAGTGCTCGAGGATGTGGTGGGTTTACTACCAAGGTTCTCCACACAAAACACCACAAATTCGACCTCTGAGAGATGTCTGAAAATACCTGCAGAAACCTTCACTGTGGCCGTCGGTGCTAGCGACTTTGGAATCGGAGCAGTGTTGTCACAACCATCCGGAGTAATTGAATATGCCAGTCGCCCGCTCACATACGCCAAAAGGAAGTACTCCATCACTGAAAAGTAGTGCCTGATGATTGTATGGGCATTAGAGAAATGGCGAATGTATTTGATTGCGAATACGTTCCACATCAAGACAGACCACAAACCCTTGACGTGGTTGATGACGGCACGCGACCGAGAGGAAGACTGGCGCGATGGGCGTATCGTCTTCATGAATTTACGTTTACCATTGAACATGTTGACGGCAAGATAATAGGATTCCTGACATCCTGTCGCGTTCAATCAATCATGAAGGTGTTCCACCGGAAGCCATCCCAGTTTCCCGGCTGGTTTCAAGCGATGTGGAAATTAATAAATATAAGTAAGAAAACGGCCTGGTGCGAACCATCTGTGAACATCTGCGGTCAAAAACGAAGCCGGAAGATATGTCACCCGAAATAGGAGAATGATTGAATATATGGGATCGCCTGCATTTGGACAATGAGAGCTTGGTGGTTGAAGTGGACATGGAACACAGACCTAGGCGACTGCCATTCATCCCAGCCAGTCTTCGCGAAAGGGTGTTGAAGCTCGCACACGATGGAGCACACATGGGACGGCAACGAGTTCTCAATTCATTACGGCGTCGTGTGTTCTGACCAACAATGCATCGGGATGTAATTGAATACATCCGTTCTTGTCCCGAGTGCCAACATAATAAACACACGACGCCATCAACACCGCCAATGCAACCAATAGACACTCAGAGAGTACTTCAAACCTGGGGACTGGGTGTGTTTGGACCTCTACCTATTAGTCCAACAGGGAACAAGTACATTGTTGTGATGGTCGAACTCGTGTCTCGCTGGGTGGAAGCGGTACCAACCTCAAATCAAACAAGAGAAACGGTTGCTCAGATATTTATAGACAATGTGGTTGCACGATTCGGCATCCCGGAAAATGTCATTACCGACCAGGGACCGTGTTTCGAATCACGGATTTTTCGGGAAACCTTAGACCGCTGGGGCATCAAACGAACAAGAACGTCCCCCTATCATCCGCAGGCCAACGGAATGACTGAACGGTTCAACAGAACAATGAAGGAATTACTCAATAACCATCGCGGTGATTGGGAAGAAAGCCTATCGGAAATGCTGTTCAACTATAGAACCACATCTCATTCGATAACTGAGATACTACCCTCCGAAATCATATGCGGTGGAGAACCCAGAACTCCTCTAGATGCGTTTCTTGGAAGGAGCGAGACAAGCTGGAGAGAGAAGCGGTTCAGAAAACCAGGCAAACCCAGCAGCGCAACAAGGGAAGATACGACAAATAACATCGATCACAGAAGTGGCAGCCGTTCGTACCGGAACAGCTATTAAAAGTTAAGAATCAAGTTAGACCCGAAACAACAGGACCGGGGCCCGGAAAGTTCAAGCAGAGATGGATGGGGCCATTCACGGTCCTGGAGAGGAAGAACGCCAGTTTTCGGATCAATCAGGGTCTTCAAGGGAGATAGGTAAATGGTAAAAAATTGCAGCGGTGGTACACCCGTGGTAATCATTTTAAAGGAGGGGCGAGTGTGATGGAAGGTGGTACAAAGAGAATCCCGGCTGGCGAACGAAGCAAGAATAGGGCCCATCGAACCAGATGCGCAGACGTAGTGGCTAGAAGTACTTCGCTCTTTAAGTTCTCGCGGATGAAGAAACGCTTTACACCGCGTACATCTTCCTTTTTTCCATCTTTTCCTCCACCTCACATTCACCCCCGTCAAAAATTCTCATTATTATCAAGATCTTCAGACAATCGTACCACCAGTTGTGCCTCCGATAGAAATTCCGTCCCTTTTCTCTCGTGTCCTGCCTCTACTAGAGTTCAAATGTCACTGAATCTTCCTCCACCAGTTGAAGCTCTTCTTCGTCCTCAATGCCCATTCAAACTAGCTACATTTAAC